ATCAAAAAATCCGGTCCTGGTCTCAGACACGGTCACACGGTCAGTCTATACAAGACTCAGAAGTGAATCACAGTATCAAGTTAGAAAAGAAGAATGATAAAGACTTTGAATTATAATAAGGCTCTCTTTATAAGATGTTCTGAGATGAACTTCTTCTTCTTCAAAAGACACTCAATAATCTGTTGAATAAAGAATTTATACATATTAGCAACTCTTTGACTGCAGCCTCTATTCTCTTTGCAAAGAAATCAGATGAAGAACTCTGATTCTGTGTGAACTATTGAGAACTGAACAGATTGACAAAGAAGAACTGTTATTCTTTATCTCTTATTAATGAAACTCTAGCTCATATTGAACAAGCTCAATGATTTACAAAGTTAGATGTCATCATCACATTTCATAAGATTCACATCACTGAAGAAGATGAGTGACTTACAGCATTCTGAACATGATATGATCTCTTTGAATGAGTAGTCACACTCTTCAAACTAGCTAACACTCTTAGTACATTTCAGAAGTATATCAACTGAGCACTCTGAGATTTCCTTGATGAATTCATATCTGTATATCTTGATGACATTCTCATCTTTACTAATGAGTCTAAGAAAGAACATCAAGAATATGTACAAAAGATATTACAATGACTATGAGAAGCAGAACTATCAATAGACATAGATAAGTATGATTTTGAGATTAAAAGTACAAAATATCTAGGCTTTATCATAGAAGCTGGCAAGAGAATTCAAATGAATTCTGAGAAGATCTCTGCTATTCTTGAATGAGAGGCTCTGTACACTGTGAAAGATGTACAAAGCTTCATCAGATTCACTAACTTCTATCAGCAATTTATACAGAACTTCTTAGATATTACAAGATCACTTACAGAACTCACTAAGAAAGACTCAGTATTTTAATAATCAGTGAACACTGAAGCTGTATTTATGTAAATGAAGAAGATGTTTATTAATACTTCTTTACTGATAACATTCAATTCTGATTATAAGACAGTTATTGAAGCTGATTTCTCTGACTATATCACAGAAGAAGCTATATTACAATATAATAATAAAGATGTCTTACAATTATGTGTCTTTATATCTAAGAAACTGAGTCTCACTGAATGCAATTATAAGATCTATAACAAGAAACTTCTCACAATTATACACTGTCTAGAAGAATGAGACTCTGAACTCTGAAGTGTCTCTGAATTTGAGATAATCACAGATCACAAGAATCTCAAGTACTGCATTACTATCTGTAAACTCACTGAACAACAGATGTGATAATCTGAGTTCTTAAGCTGCTTTCATTTTACAATACACTATCATCCTGGCAGTCAGAAGTTGATGACAGATGCCCTCTTATAACAAGAGCAAGATATACCTTTCAATGTAACAGACACTCATTGAATGAACTGAGAACATCAACTCTTAGATCTGAAGATATTGATTGATCAACATAAAACAACTCATGACACTATACACACTTCTCTGATTAGAACACTCTCTCTTCAAACTGACACTGATACTGATATCTTCACTTCTTCTACACTGAATGAATTGTGATATATAACAGCTCGAACTGATGAACTTCTTCAAGCACTCACTGAAGCAGTATATCAAGAAGCATCTCAATTTCACTCAGAACTATGTATAAGAATCAACATCTCAGAATGCTCAATCAATAATAATAACACTCTGCAATTCTGCAAATGATGTTGAGCCTCACATTTCAAATTCTTACACACTCAGATAATGCAAGAGATGCATGATTCTTATATAATCAGTCATTCAGATTATAAACAACTGTATTGAATAATCTCTTAAGAGTTCTACTGACCTGAGATATTGAACAGTATCGGACATTTCATCTGAAACTGTAACTGTTATTCCTTCATCATCTCATGAAAGAACTGTAGAAAAGGCCTGCTGAAATCACTTAATATCTCTAATAGAATCTGGCAAGATATAGTAATTGACTTCACTGTTGATCTCTCTGAGAGTAAGAATTGTAGAAATGTTCTGATCATCATGAATCAATTAAGTAAGAGTGTAATATTGAAATCTTGTGACAAGATGAATACTGAATAAGTCACTGAAGCTTTTCTATGAAGCCTGTTCTATTAAATACATGAATTGCTGAGATTTATAGTATCAGATCAGAGCTGTTAATTCATAAGCACTCTCTGAATAGAAATATATCAAGTTCTTAAAATTACACACTGTTTGTTAACTATCTATCACTCTGAGATTGATAATGCATCAGAACAGACAATTCAGACTGTAAAGAATTATCTTCATAAGTTCTGTAACTACTTATAAGATAATTGATATGATCTTCTTCTACATGCAGAGAGTACTATGAATGATTGAGATGCTGTCTCAATAGATGTAAGCTTATTCTTTCTTACACACAGTTATCACATGAAAGTGTTGAATCTTCTAGAGATCACACAGTTCACACTGAACTCTCACAGTCTGATTCAGATCACTGATAATATAGTAATAAAGCTTCAAGATGTCTGCAACTGAGCAGAAGCCTTTATAGCAAGCATTAAACAAGATTAAGAGAACTGAATCAATGTTCACTGAGATCTCACTGAGCAATATAAGATAGAAGATCTGATATGATTGAATCTTAAGAATATATGAATCACATACTCATCTTACACACTGAATTATCACTATACAAAGTATAAAGTGATAGAAGTTCTAGACAGTCATAACTACTGTCTTAACACATTATCAGAGATTTATAATGTCTTTCATATGAGCTTAGTCTGTCATACTGTCACTGATCTGTTCTCTTCTTAACTGACTTCTGACTGACAGCCGCCAGGGATCATAGAAGAAGATAATGAACTTGAATGAGAGATTGAAGATATTTTTGATAAGAGATCTCAAAGTCATGACTAATAATATCTTATGAAATGAATCAGCTATAATCACTCAATCTGAACTCTGAGCTCTGTGTTATCTGAGATAGCAGCTCTTGACTGATGAGAACTACACACTCACAATTCTATATCACTTCTGAAAAGAGAGGGCTAATGTGGCAGGCTGCGCCTGATCAATTATATAGACTATTTCATTACACTTCACAGATTCTGCTGAAAGCTCTAATTCTCAGTTGCTGATTCTCAGCTGAAAAATCCATGGAATTTCTATTCTTCCACCCCGAAGCTTCACTATGTACATATATAAATATTCACTTCAATCACTGGTTCCTGCACTTTCTCTTTCTTTCCTTCTCTAATGTTTTTCACTTTGTTATATAAGACCTATATATTATACCGATCTATTGAGCGTAGGCCCCTCACAGTCAGTGATTGTACTAGGAATTTTCAATGTTTTTTAAACTGTGTTTAAAATTCCAAGTGTGAACTTGATCATCTCCTGTAGTTGTCTAGTCTGAGTATGAAGAATTAATAGAACTTCTTCATTCATCTCACTCAGACACTGCTTTTGAAGAATCTTGCTTACTTTTTCAAGTTTCTATATTTCAAGAACTTGTTATTGCTCTATTTCTTCTTTCTTTCTTCTCTTCAGAATTTCAATCTCAGGAATAGCATTTGAGAAAGCATCTTTTTCCATATCAACTGAGTGTATTTTTGAACTCATTATTCTCACTCAATGAAAAGTTGATCAGACTGTTTCAATTAAGAGATTTCTAAGTCTGTTTTCAATTGAAAAGTTAGTCCAACTGTTTCAAAAAAAGAATAAAAGACTTTTATATATAAAACACCTGATTATTTTCACACTAGTTCAGTAACTAGATTAGATTTTTAAAGAGAATCTAATAAATTGAGATTGATTTTTGAGATAAATCAATAAAATCTTTACAATCTCTTTCTTGAGATACAGTGAGAAAAAGTATGATATTAATTAATAGTAAATCAGATAATATGACAGTTTTTAACAGAAAAACTAATAAAAAATAAATTAATTTTGTTGCAGAGAAATTCATTAAAACTATTCAATTTATTCTAATTATTCAATTCTTCTCACAGAACAAGTGTGCAACTCAAATCAGTTAATAAAGAGTGTGAAAAAGAATTAAGTATGAATTGAAAGGTCCTTCGTCACTGAAAAATAATTCTTACTTAAAAGAATATGAATTATAACAGAAAATAACTCTGTTTTTAATTCTTTGTAAGAATATTGTGTAAAACTCAGAGAAAAACATCTTACTTTTTCAAGAGAAGTAAAAAACTATTTCTAAGATCTTTTTTAACATTAACTGCTGCAGAAAAATGACATAGAAACTGCTAAGATATGCACTACTGTATACTCTCTATCAAGACTTTTCCTCTTCAGAGTGTTGATATTATAGAGAATATAAGTCTGTTTTTATATAATAATATCAATATTATCAGCAGGATGTAGAGGAACTGGTTATTTATATCTTAAAATAGAAGACTTTGTCAATGATTATATTAATATAGAGTTAAGTCTTAAATTCAATAGAAATCTAGTATTGCTGTTCTCAATCTCTTGCAGAATCTATTGAATATTGAGATATTAAAACTAGATTTAATATATCTCACTATGCAGAGATCAAAGGCTCAGTCAGATCTTGAGATATACTGATTTTATAGTTATCATATCTGCTGATTATGTATCAAATACAGTTATCAAGGTATCTTTTTGTATTTTTCTGCTGAGGATGAGCCAGATTGAAAGGGGTGATACAAGGGTGAGACTTGGTGTTGATGTCTTGGTACATCAAAGACAGAGAGAGTTTTTCACAGAGAATGCACTTCAGACATGTCTGTTGATTATGTGTCTGATACTATTGCTGAGGTATCTTTTTGTATTTTTCTGCTGAAGGTGGGCCAGATTGAGAAGGGCGGTATGTGAGTGAGACTTAGCATTGATGTTTTGGAACATCAAAGATAGACAGGGTTTTCATGGAAGTTGCTTCTCAGATATCTTCACAATTACAGATCAGGGATCTTCCAAACTTAAGAAGATTGATGCATATGGCTAGGTCTCTTCACCTTACAATTTGTATGGCAATTTGGCCCGGGGTTGTGGTGTGATAGGGGTGAACAGGGGATAATCCCACACAGGAGTTTTGAACAACGTCTGGTTCACGTTTGGCTGGATAACTCCACCACCACTAGACTGACCGTGTGACCGTGTCTGGGACCAGGACCAAATTTTACAGTTGTCACGTTGCCTAAAAGCATTACTTCTGATCATGATTTATGTTCATCACATTGATTTCAAATCATGTTATTTCAAATATTAAAGATCTCAGATTCACTTTTCAAATAAAAATCTAGTCTCAGATAAAGAATATGTTTGAATTCTTAGTCACATTTTCATTCTGATCTCATTATTGAGAATGACATCAAATGAGATCATGAAATCACTTCTCACTTACATAATATTATAACATAGTGCTCATTTGTTGAAAATTCAACAGAGAGTGTTATCAAATATCATTACTTTTCTAAACACAGATCATAATTCATATAATTTTAATTATAAAAAAAATATAAAATACAAAAAAAAAAACAAAAAACAAAAAACAAAATAAAAACAAGAAAAAATCAGAATGAATGAAAAAAAAAAAAAGAAAAGAAAAAGAAAAAAACAAAAAATAAAAACAAAAAAAATCAAGATCACAGGGCTGCAGCATCTCTAAAATACTTACTTCTCAGAGTCTTCACAATATTTATTATCAACTGTGTATCTCTCACAGTGAGAATAACACAGCTGCAATGAGTTATTGTCTTAACATCATCTAATAAATAATCAGTATATATCTGTATAAATGTGAATATTTAGAAAATATACACTCAAAAAGTGTGGTCAGGGTGAACTCTGCTGTCACTTGAATAACATCAAGAGCAGAATGCTGGAATCAATAATTTTTCTCATTAATTTCACAGACAAGGCAGATGAAGATAATCTTGAGAAATATAAGATTCTCTGACTTCTGATAAAAACAGATCTTATGAAGAGACTCTATTTTCATGATATCAGAGACTGAGTATTATTAAAAAGTGTTACTTTCATATAATACACATGCACTTACTGTGATGATTCACTCTCTGTGCATGTGACTGAGGGTTGCAGCTTTCTCACACCACATAGCTCTCTCTGAAATGCTGATGCTGGTTTGCAACTCATGCAGTCTCTCAGTTCAGCATACACTGCATGTATACAGCTCTGTGTACTGAGACTGTGTTGATCATTATGGTCTGGCGTGATACTTACTTTTCACAGGCCATGTTTCATTTGAGAGGGAAGAAAGAAGATGCAACTGTGATTTTATTAAGAGAGAATGAATAATTAGTAATATTGAATATAATTTAATTCTTCTGCATTTAAAATTTGATTAGTCTATACTCTTTAATTTGAGGGTTTCTAGAAGTGTTTTAATAGTTTTCATACTAGCTTGAATTTAGTGATGAATTGAAGAAGAAGAGAAAAGAGAGAAGAAAGAAATGAGAATAACTTATCTTTATAATATAAAAATAGAGAATTGCTGTAATCATTCTCTTTAATAATAAAGATCTGTTTTCTGCATGTATCTCTGATATAGATTATATGATAACTGTATACAAAGAATATCAACACTGTATGCATTGAATGAAGATGATATTGCTATACAACACTGTAGCTGTTTTCATATATCTCTGAAAGCTGTTAATATTTTCTTTGTCTCTTTATATTTGATAAGTCAGTAATATATTTCAATGCACTCCTTCTTTCATCATCATTATCATCATCATCATCATCATTATCATCACTATCATCATTATCATCATCATCACTATCATCACTATTATCATCACTATTACCATCATTATCATTATCACTATTATCATATTATTCCTGACTGTCTCTTCTGCCTTTATCTCTCTTCAATACTCACTGAAACCAATCATGTCATTCTTCTTCAAATATTCTGCGGTTCTGTGGACCACTAAGGCGTGTGAGCACTGTCATAGATTGAAGAGAGAGGAGAAGAAGACATTCAAGTAAGAAGAGACTGATTGCAAGGCATGTTATGATGCCTTGAAGAGACTCTGTAAGAGAGTAGAATGATAACAATTTTAAGTAACACTTCTGATAGATTTAGACTGAACTAAGTATAGAAATAATGCAGATGATGCTGTCTGTGAGAGATTGAAAAAGAAGACAGTGAAGAGTCTCATGCAGCAGTGATAAGATCAGAAGAAGTCTCAAGAATAATTTGAGTTCAAGATAAAGAGAGAAAGAGAGAAGAAGAGTATTATTATAAATAAGCAGCAGCAGAAGAAGATTGAGAGAGTGTTAAAGTGAGAGACAAAGAAGTCAAAACTGGTAAGTTTTTTATTTATTGAGAGATAATAATTTTTGATAACACTTCTGTTCTCTAATTGATTAGCAGGAGCTGACAGAGAAGAAAAGAATTGAGGCCTTGTTCAGGTCTCAAATGCACTTCATGATTCAGAACATTGAGGAGGCAGCCCTGCTCTCTGAGCATGTCAATCTGCTTGCTGCTGAGATGGAACCTGAGACAGCAGATCAGAAAATGCGGGATTTTGAGATGCAGGTTGACCTGGCTGAGGAGAAGCAGTGAGAACCCTTCTCTGAGAAGGCAGCAGAGAGAGATTTTGAGGTGATTATCACCTCAGATAAGAAGAAGAAGAAGAAGGAGAAGAAGAAGAAGAAGAAGAATGAGAAGTAAATTATGAAGAATAATAAGAAGAATGAGAAAGAGAAGAAGTAGATTTTTTTCTTTTTATATTAGTTAGTTATAAGTTTAAGTTTTTAATTATTAATAATTAAAATTAATTTTGAGTTTTCAAAAATTATTGTACAAGTTATAATCAAGTCAGGAATGATATATATATATATATATATTTAACTATCATGATTCATAAATCACTATAATGTATAAGTATCAACATTTTTTCAACATTGATATTCACAATATTAATATATTTTTAATGATATCATCTGATAACATAATTTGATAACACTCTCTTTCACAATATTAATATATTTCAAGAAATATGATAGAGATTAATCAAGATTATTTATTTACTTTTATACATCAATGATATTCAATCTGAGTTAGTACTAAAATTATAACTAAGCTAAGAAACAAGATTATTTTCTCTTATATTAATTCTTCTTATACACATCAGTGATCAGTTATTGAAAATAAATTGTCATCTTTCATAAATTATTATCATATCTTCTGAATTCACTTCTTTCACTTCTTTTACTTCTATTGAAGATTCATAAACTCTTCAAGAAATCACTGTGAATCACAAAGTCTATATTGTTTACAATTCAATACAGAATGCTCTCTTTCAATCATGATAAATAATCACTTCATTCTTCACATCTGATTTCAGGTTACAAAATTTATGAAAAACTTAACATAAACACTAAGATGATCTATGAAATAATTATTAACAGGTTGTATTGCAGATTACTGAAGAGTCATCTCTCTGCTACAATTACTACAACTTTATTCAGAAACATTCATTATGAACTAATCATGACTCTGAAGAAATTTTCTGATATCTGAAGTCATCAGAATGCAGATAATAAAAGAAAAATAATCAGAAAATTACTACTGAGCTGATAAGTTACTCTATCAGATAACAATTTTTAATAATGCTAACTTTCTAATTTGAAGGAAATCATGTGAAAATAATCATATATCAGTACTCTGATTTCACAACTCTTATCTGATAACTTCTGTGAATAATTACTTTATATATGTATATCTCTGAATCTTTCTCTTCAATCAATTGAAAACCCCGAATTCTGAACACTTCTTTAAATACTTAATTCAAATCTTCATATTCTACATCAATTCTGTCTTCAGTCCAACCTTGAGACACACTACAAAGTCAATATACAATATCTAGGATCAGAGTTGAAGAATCATCAAAGAGTGTCTCTCACAGTGAATGCATGAACTAGTATAAACAATCTTACATTTATAGAAGTTATATGTTATTATATTAATGAGAACTGAACTTATTAAGAGACATTAATTGAATTTAAATCATTGATCAGTAGTCATACTGAGGATTATATGACAGAGATATTAATGACTGTGATTAAAAATGACTATTAAAATATTAGTCTCAGTCTTCTTATAATTACAACTGATAATGCTGTGAATAACTACACTATAATGAAGAGCTTGAAGCAAAAATTGGCTTTGCATTTCTGAAATAGTAAATAAGGTCATATTCTCTGCATTGCTCATGTGGTTCAACTTGTGATATAAACACTGATAAAGAATCTTAACATTGAGATGAAGAATAATGAGATGACTGGTTCTTGAAATGAGAATGAGATGAAAGTAATTACTTAAGTAACTTTTGCATCTACTTTGCAAAAGATAATGTTTTTTGATAACACTTTTTAATATTGCTTTTTGATAATGCTTTTTGATAACACTACTGTTAATTTTGAATAGATTGACTAATAATTTAAATATTACAGATTTGAAACATTGCTAATATAATTTGTATCTTCTCTAAATAATAATAACAATTTCATAATATTCAATAAATAAACAAATCAGTCACATCACTGAATATGATACAGGATGTTAGAATATGATGAAGTTCAACATATGAGATGACTGTTTAAGCTCTTCAATTATGTCAGATGATTGATCATTGAGTGCAATACTCTGATTGAGAAAAGATTCAGATATTGAAACTTTCTGATATGAAGTGAACTCAGTTGAAATATGTGATTGATTTACTGTTTCAGTTTTATAAGATAATAAAGACAGTCTCAATCACTTATACATCAATGCTGCAGTCAGTCTGGTGAGTGTATAACAGTTTATTTACTCATCTTGAGAAGCAGTTGAATCACTCAAAAAGAAATTCAGTCTGGGATAATGCTATAGCACAGGCTATTATTGCTGTAAGGAATAAACTGGCATATTACTACAGTAAAACTGAACAATCTTTTGCAGAGTACTATGCTGTAGCAGCTCTACTAGATCTCTCTCATTGAGTTAATATCTACACTTCTCAAGATTGAACAGAGAAGGAATGAGACTCATATGTTAAATTAGTCTGAGACTACTACAATGCTAACTATCAGAGATTTGAATGAGCAGATGTTCAAGATATGAAGATAGTGAAATACAATTCTCTAGTAAGTAACAATCTTTGGTAATACTTCATATCTCATAGAACTATAATACTAACTTTGAAACAGAACTTGCATATATTGATTGCAACTGAAAATCAGATAAAACTACATACTTATAAAACTGAATTTGACTGCTATCTTCAAGATAATTCAATAAATTTACACATTAAATCAATTCTAGAGTTATGAAAAATTGTTAAGAGTATATATTCAACTGTTGCACTGATAATGTGTGATATTCTGACAATTTCATTGATAGAAGTGAGAATAAAGTGAAAGTTCAACTCAAGTTGAGATATTTATCACTATCATCAGAGACAATTATAAGGAGAAATAATCAAGAAACTCATGATTGTAAAACATGGAATTATCAGACAGTTTAATACCTCTGATCACAGTATATCAGAGAAGTGTAGTTTTCATGAGAAAGTGAAGAATAAACTTGCACAAGAATGTATTTAGTTGTTTCATGAGTATTATCAATAATTGTTACCAAATTCTGATTATATAAGCAATCACTGAATGAACTGAATGAGACTGATTTTGATCTTCAGTCTCAGTCTCATTCTGATTTTAGAAGAATGATCATCTTTCACAGTTTATCCTGAGAAATTACTCTTATTTCACTATTCTTGAATTAAATCTGGTCATTTTTCACACCATTTCTCTCAGAAATGGTCCATTTTCAGATTTTTTTGAGGCTTGGTCCTGGTGGGACTCACGCCAAGAAATGTATGAGATCAGACCAAATGGGACCAAATGTGAAATTCATGGTCCCGCCGGCCAGTCTAACCACCACACGGGGTATGCGGTCGGCGATGGGGTCAAAATGCTCGTATGATCGAGGCTTTTCAATGGATCTATTGACGGGTTCTTATTCATCATCAGAGTGTTCTTGTAGTTATCTTCTGAATCTTTCTTCAATGAGTTCTAATAGTAATCACTATTATAAGGTTCTTAAAATAGTAATATTAGTGCTAGAAGAATTTCACTATTGTAAGAAGCTTCTGATAATAAATATTATAGTTGATCTTCACAGATTGCATCTTCTATGAGAAAAATATCACTGAAACTCAGTTCTCATTTAACTGTACTATTTCTGAAATTGTAAAAAAGAAGATATCTGTCTTTAATCTGATTAAGAGTAAGAGATTAAAGTGAAACAGTATCACTGTATCTGTGAATATCTGTTTCAATCTTATAAAGACTTTATAAGCTTCTGAGATAAGAAAGTTCTTATAGTTCTTTCTTCTTAACAATCTTTTCATTCTGCCCCGGTGGCCGAATGGTTAATGCGGCCACCCGGTAGCACCTTGGCGTGGGAAACCAAGGCGCGTGGGTTCGAAACCCGCAGGGGATACATTAAATCCGGAACTCAAGCACCTCAGGTTTCTAATAAATACAGAGGTGTACAAATCGCTCCAATGAATTGCTCTATGTTCCTGGGCTGAGAAGTTATTATCGCATGTATCTAATTGTCACTCCTTTGTATTTTCCTATGTTCTTGTTATCTTGGCGTGGTCTCAACACCTGTATTTCCTCCTGTATAACCAACACTTGACCTGTATTTAACATCACACAAGGACTCATCATAAGCTCCGCTTGCATATGAGTATAATGGAAGAATAATAATAATAACAAGCATCAAACGCTCGCTTACGCTCGCTTTGTAGAATGACTTCTTCTTATTTTCACTCTTCAGTATATCTGTAAGAGTTAAGAAGATTCTTATAAATACAAAGATAAATTATTTATAGAAATTCACAAAGCTCAGAAAGATCTGAATCTTATAGATATTAGTTAACTTCAGTTATAATAGAATAGTCTTAACTTATAAAGATTTCATGTGAATATCATTCACAGTAATTATATATTCTAGGAAATTAATTCAGCAGATACTGAAGTTATACTTTATAAGCTTAATATACAGTTCTGTCTCATCTAAAACCTTTAACACAGTTCATATATACTCAGTGTATTCTTTCTTCTTTATAGAGTACATCATTACATCATTCAGATATATTATTATAAAGACATTCAGATATACACAAAGTATTTTATTAATAAAAGACTGAAATGCTGCAGAGATATTAGTCAAATCAAAAGATATTACTAGATATTTAAATAATCTCAGTGCAGTTTTAAAGACAGTCTTTTCTTTATTCTCAGACTGTATTCACACTCATGTATATATATTAATCATATCTAGTTATGTGAATATAACAGCTTCTGCAAGACAGTTAATCATATTCTCAATCAGAGATAGAGAGTAGTAACTCTTTATAGTCTTGAAGTTCAGATCACAGTAGTTTATATACAAGCTGAGATCTTTATTCTTCTTTTTTACAAATATTATAGAGACTTCTGTAAAGATCTGCAAACATTGAATAAAGTCATTCTTCAGGTTCTTCTTCATATAAGCTCACAGAGTGTCTGTCT